TATTATAGTAAAAGGCACATTTCCATTAATCCTGCTCCCTTCAAATACACTCATTTCACTGGTCTTGACACTTTCTAAAGCAGTTCTAGGAGTCCCCTTTCGTGAGTGTCATAAGATCTGATCAAAAATAGGGTGAATACTGTGCCAAGTGCCATCCAAAAGAAAGGCAGGCTCGTAAAAACATCAGTGTGACCTCATCCACCTCCCTCCTTGGATCTGGCACCATGCAACTTCTGGCTCTTTCCCCAGATCAAAATGACTAAGAAAGGGAAATGTTTTGAATTGATTCAGGACGTCAAGGCATTCATGACGGCACAACTAAAGACGCGAAAGAGGGCTCCTGGAGCTGCTTCAGAAAGCGGCAGGCACGGTAGGGTGAGTGTGTTGAAAGTAAGGAGAAGGATTTGGAAGAGGACTCCTGGCCACGCGTCTTTTACTACAATAAATTTTTAAAAATATTAAACTGCTCTTTTCCATCATACCGCATTGATACCACAGCCCTCGCTCAGACACCGCCCACTGTCTCAACCAGGTCAGGGCTGAAGGGCAGCCTCCAGCTGACAGGGGATGTAGGGCGTGGCAAAGCTGGCTGGGGAATGAGCAGGACCTGTCAATTACAAGTTCCCAGGGCAACGCGAGTACCCCGTATGTACACTTCTCGCGAGCCCCCGCGAGATGTACAGGGTGTAAAGAAGAGCAGACGTGCGCGGAGCTATCTCGGTGAGTTTCCGCGCGCGTTCCTCGGAGGGAGCGTGTACTTTTATTTTTGCCTTTATCCTCTTTTTCTCCTTGTTCAGCCCAAGTTTCGCTCTGCAGAGCTGGTTTCTCCCACGTTCATTTACCCCACACTTTTCAAATGAACATGTGGCCTTTGGGGCTTGTCTTGTCCAATCCTTTGTTCAAGGCAAGAAGGACATGGGACACTTTTGACTGGCAAATCCGTTCTAAAGAAACTGCCCCATAACGCCCGGTGGCCGTAGCCTCCTGGGGCCTGGCCGTGCAGTGGGTCCAGCTCACGCGCTCGGGGCACCCTCCCCTCCCCAGACCCCGTCAGAGCCCTTCTGGGGAACAGGAGCCCGCTGTGTAGCCGGGGGTCCGAGGCTGAGGGATGCGCCACACTCGGGGACCGGCCTCAGCCTCCCAGCCGGGTCTGCTGGGAGGTCACCCTGGGAGGCTGAGGCAGGAAGATCAAAAGTTTGAGCCTAGCCTGGACAATTTAGTGAGACGCTGTATCAAAATTTAAAAAAAAAAAAAAAAAAAATTTAAGGGAGATAGTTAGATGGGTCCTGGCTCAGATTCTCCTGGCTCAGCTCTTCCCTCTGGGCACTTGTGCCCGGTGTGGAGCTAAGCGAGCCAGGCAGCCCTTGACATTATGGCTTGTCGCCCACTAACCCATCTTCCCACCTGCCTACACATCTCTGGCTTCCGAAGACGGCGCCAGCCTTGCTGCAAGGGGCCTGTGCTGCCCGCCTTCTCCCGACACCCTCCTCTGGGCTGCCCCCACCACCAGTCATTCAGGACCTGGCCTCAAACCCCCTCAGATCCCCATGTCCTAAGCCCCCTAGTGGAACCCCTCAGCCCGGGACACCAGATCCTTCCAGAACCTTCCAGAACCTTTGGGCCTGGCACAGCAGGGACAAAGCCAGTACTGAGGGAGCCACATGCTGCTGCCTACACCAGCTCACTGAGCCCCCTGGCCTCCTACTCGTCACCACTGGCCTCCAGCCCTGCAGCAGCTGAGCTGGGAGTGGAGAAGCCTCAGGGCCCAGGGGCCCGGTGCTCGGGCCTGGCCCATGAAGCCGGAGGCAGAGAGAGAGATACTCACGCAGGGAAGTCACTGGCATACTGCCACCCCTCCTGGTCTGTGCCACCAGGAACGCTGAAGTCCACATACCAGTCTGAAACCTGGGGAGGGTTCAGTCAGTGAGAATGGGACCCCATCTCTCCAGATAAGTCAGAAGCCCAAGGAGTGCTACAGGACAGGGGGCTCACCCAGGTCCACTGTAGGGATGGGGGCTTGGTGCTGGCCTTCGTGCACTCCTGCAGTCCTGTGGCGTCACTCCACATGTACCGGTCAGTGGGTAGGCCTCTGCAGCAGGAGGACGGGCATGGGGTGACAGGGAGGACCAATGCAGTACCCACCTCACACAGCCCTGGTAGCAGACTTGTACCCCACTGCTGGGGAGCCTGAGGGAGCAGCTCTGAGCTCTAGCCCCACAAGAAGCAGCCTCCTGGGTTGCTTGCCTGCTGGGGTGAAAAGTTAATACAGAACCCCCCCAGGCAGAAACACCAACTGGCACTACCCCATATCACCATGGTTCCCAGGCCATAAGAACTGAGCTGTCCACTGAGGTCCTCACAGTCCATGTAGACTGGGAGTCATCTCTCTTTTCCTGGTGTTACAAGTTGGATACTGTCTCCCTAAAGATGCTGATGTCCTAACCCCGAGCAACTTCAAATGTGACCTTGTTTGGAAATAGGGTCTTTGCAGATGGTCAAGGTAAGATGAGATCATTAGGGTGAGCACTAACCCAACAGGACTGGTGTTCTCATGAAAAGGGGAGGCATGTGTGGTGGCACACACTGGTAATCCCAGCACTTTGGGAGGCTGAGGCAGGAAGATCAAAAGTTTGAGCCTAGCCTGGACAATTTAGTGAGATCCTGTCTCAAAATT